GGTGCGTCCCTAATATTTACAGCAATGCAGAATGGCACAGGCTATAGAGGACTACACATCCCAGCAATACTTTATACAACTATAGCATTTCTGTATAAAGTACTGCTGAGATTTGTAGTCCTCTATAGAGGGTCCCATTCTGCATTGCTGCAACAGTACTTTACACAACATTAGGCTGCAAATAATAATTGTTTTAATTAATTATTTACCCTTACCTTCTCTGGCTGGTCTTCTGCTGTTTCCTGGTGGGGGATTCAAGCTGCAGAAAACCCCAATGTCTGTTTCCTTCTTGCTGGGTCCTCACAGCCGTCCGATGTGCCTGCACCTGCAGGGCCATCTTCAGTCTTCACATGATGATGTCCTCGGCTCGCTCCTCGCAGGGGCCGGCGGGCACCACAATATCCGGGTACCCGGCAAGCGGGCGTGCGCGTAGCCCCCTCCCCTCCCCCAATTCAGCGCGTCGGAGTGTGGGGACATCAGTATCCGGCGGCCGGCGGGCCCCCCATCTCTGCGCCGGGAGTGTCAGATGAACGGATGATCCGACACTCCCGGCACAGAGACAGGGTGCCTGCCGGCCGCTGGGTACCGTCTATGCACAGGCCAGGACTGTGCTGGGCCCCCCCAGGCTGAGGCCCTGGTGCGCCCGCACTGGCTGCACCGGCGGTAGTTCTGCCACTGTCACTGCCACTGCACAGCTAATCATAATCCGCAGTGCTAATCATAGTCCGCACAGCTAATCATAGTCTGCACAGCTCATCATAGTCCGCACAGCTCATCATAGTCCGCACAGCTAATCATAGTCCGCACAGCTCATCATAATCCGCACATCATAATCCGCACATCATAATCCGCTCATCATAATTTGCTCATCATAATCCGCACTGCTCAATCGGCTCATCATAATCCGCACATCATAATCTGCACCACTCATCATAATCCGTTCATAATCCGCACCGCTCATCATAGTCTGCACTGCTCATCATAATCCGCTCATCATAGTCCACAGTCCATAGTCCATCATATGTTCAATTTCAGCTTTTAAAATAGTTTGAGTTTATGGTATATAATTTTTATTTTAGATTTAAAATGTATTATATTTTTTGGTTAGTTTATTTATAGATTTAATAAAGTTATGGATATTATATGTTTATGTTAGTTTCCTTTTTTTCCCCACAATCTATATTATTAATGTTTAAGGAAATGGGGTTGTATGGAACAATGGATTTTCACCATATCAACAAAGGAGATTATACAGTGTAAATAACTAAAGTTAACATTTTAATCTTGACTGGGATTACAATGTTAAAAAGCTTCATTATTAAAATTAAATATATGAAAAGAGTACTACTGGACAATGAACTCTTTCCACAATTCAATAGAAGGCTACTGCCACTGACCAGGTGAAAGTCAAAAATGTTTCGAAATTCGTAGATGCGGAGCATCCGAATTTCCGAAATATAACATATCCGAAATCATCCAAAGGCATCCGAATCCGAAATTTCGGATTTGGAACGAATTTCGTCCAAATCCTATAAAGACTAGAGCACAGCAACCAGAAATGACAGCAACCAAAAACGAAATAAACAAAATCCGAAACTAAACGAAACGAATTTTTAGCCGCTGCACATGTCTAGAAATGATATATGCAGAACACAGAGTATACTAGGCAGTAGCAGACAGACAAGGGTAACAGCACTCCCGATGTGACCGGCCCCTGGTTTTCTGCTGCTTAGGGGGGCTTGAGCCGAAGCAAGAGGGCCCTGTTAAACACTGAGAGTATATTTCCATTAAAAGGCCCACAGAAATCCTCAGCACCAGATCCATGATGCCGTTATTTGGGACCTGCTGGTGAAGAGCACTTCCATTTGTCTGGAATGATTTGAAAGAAGTGGTCTTCTCTGATGATGCTCGTAATAGATCATATTATATCATTAAAATAATATTTAGAACAACGACTTAAAGGAGAACTATGGGGTCAGTGTTTTTCCCCATAGTTCTCCTTAGGGTAACGGGAGGACACAAACTAGCGTCCTCCCGTTACCCTAAGCTCAGTATACCGCCAGCTACAGCTCGCGGTATACTGAGACGCCGCAGCCGTAGCGGATCCCGACGTAGATGACGGGATCCGCCCAGCTGCGTGAGTGACAGCTGGTTCTGCCTATCTAGAGGCAGAGCCAGCTGTTCCCGCCCCCTCCCCCGTCCGTTCCGCCTGTCAGCGCTGGCAGATCGGAGCGGGGAGAGGGGAATCCAGCCCCTCCCCCTGTCACGGCAGAGAGCCGTGACAGGATCGAGAGGTGAGCGAACCTGGTATGTGTTCGCTCACCTCCCGATCTACTGAGCCGACCTGTGACAGTCTCATTGTCACAGGTCGGCTAGAACTATGAGGTGAGTGGAAATCACTCATCTCATAGTTCTCCTTTAAACAATAGGCAACAGGCTATTCAGCAAATGGCAGCTTGCTATCAGAATCCGTTTCCCGTGGACAACAAGGGTCCGATGAATTGAAGAACAGTGAAGATGGCCAATCTAAGGTGTGGGGCACTCAGAGGTAGCATACCCACATGAGTCAGACCTTTGCAATGCTGTAAAATCCATAATGGGGAGGCTGAACCAAATCTGATAGCAATAAGCAGCTTGTTGTCAGAATCTGTTTCCCCTGGACAGAGAGGCTCTGGGGAATTGAAATGCACTGTTGGCGATTTATATGGGGTGTGTGGCAGTCAGAGATAGCATATACACATGGCATTAACCCCTGTGAAGGCATGGAGGCCATGTGAGAGGTGGAAACAATTTTGACATAATTTGACAGCCTGCTATCAGAATCTGTTTCCCCTGGACAGAGAGGGTTATAGGAACTGGTCTATCTGGGGTGTGGGGCACTCAGAGGTGACATATGCAATTGATTTTGACCCTTGTAATGGTGTGGAGGCCATGTTGGAGGGGGGGGGGGACCTAATTGGATAGCAAATGGCAACCTGCTATCAGAATCTGTTTCCCCTGGACAACAAGGGTCTGGTGAATTGAGGAACAGTGAGGCTGGTCTATCTGTGATCTGGGACACTCAGAGGTGGGATACACACTTGATCTTTACCCTTGTAATGGTGTGAAGGCCATGTTGAAGGGGGGAACCAAAATTGATAGCAAATGGCAACCTGGTATCAGAATCCGTTTCCCCTGGACAACAAGGGTCTGATGAATTGAAGAACAGTGAGGCTGGTCTATCTGTGATCTGGGGCATGCTTACAATGAGTATTGCTGATTAAAGGAGAATTATGAGGGGAGTGATTTTCACTCAGCCTTATAATCTGAGCCGACCTGTGACAATGAAATTGTCACAGGTCGGCTCAGTAGATCGGGAAGTGAGCTCGCTCACTTCTCGATCTATCCGTGCAGAGAGCCGTGACTGTCACTCACGGTTCCCTGCAGGGATCCCCCCCCCTTCCCTGTCCGATCCTCCAGCGCTGACTGGCGGAACGGACGGTGCGGATACAGCTGGCTCTGCCTCTGTATAGGCAGAGTCAGCTGTCACTCACGCAGCTGGGTGGATCCAGACAGAATTGTCAGGATCTTTTTCGGCTGCGGAGTCTCAGTATACCGCGAGCTGCAGCTCACGGTATACTGAGCTTTGGGTGACGGGAGGACGCTAGTTTGTGTCCTCCAGTTACCCTTAGGAGAACTATGGGGAAAAGCCCTAACCCCATAGTTCTCCTTTAAGATTATCATTGTTGATTACAATGAGCAGTAAGGATTACGATCGGTTGTATGGATTAAGATTATCAGTGTGGATTAGGATGAGCGGACTATGATGAGTGGATTATGATGAGCGGTGAGGCTTATGATGAGCAGTGCGGACTATGATGAGTGGACTATGATGAGCAGTGCTGATTATGATGAGCAGTGCAGACTATGATGCAGATTAGCAGTGCGGACTATATGTGCAGATTAGGATGTGCGGATTATGAACGGATTATGATGAGTGGTGCAGATTATGATGAGCGGATTATGATGAGCGGATTATGATGAGCGGATTTTGAGAAATGCTGCGGATTATGATGAGCAGATTATGATGTGCGGATTATGATAAGCGCTGCGGATTATGATGAGCCGATTGAGCAGTGCGGATTATGATGAGTGGATTATGATGAGCGGTACGGATTATGATGAGCGGTACGGATTATGATTAGCGGTGCGGATTATGAGTGGTGCGGATTATTATTAGCGGTGCGGATTATGAGTGGTGCTGATTATGATGAGTGGATTATGATTAGCTGTGCGGATTATGAGTGGTGGATTATGATGAGTGGTGTGGATTATGATGAGTTTTGCGGATTGTGATTAGCAGTGCGGACTATGATGAGTGGAATATGATGTGCGGATTATGATGAGCCGATTGAGCAGTGCGGATTATGATGAGGGGATTATGATGTGCGGATTATGATTAGCGGTGCGGATTATGATAAGCGCTGCGGATTATGATGAGCTGTGCAGACTATGATTAGTTTTGCAGATTATGATTAGCAGTGCGGACTATGATGAGTGGATTATGATGTGCGGATTATGATGAGCGGTCTGGAATTTACCAGAAAGTGAGAAAACTCTATACACATGTGTCTGTGTTAAGTTCTCATTCACACACATATACAGATAAATACAAATATGTGTATTTTGAATCCTGTGTTTTATCATCTGGAGAATAGAAGAGGACATGGAGCAGATCGTAGCCAGCCTAAGACTGTGGAAGAATGTGAGGGACAGACGACCTCATTGGGCAGAGTTCAGCGATCACTTCGCACACATTGTCATCTCTAACTAACTTGAAACCGGAGCTTCGAGAGAGGCGGGACAGAGGCGGGTCTATGTAGATTCATATGCTGCTGAAGGGAGGCAGAGCAGTTATGGAAATAGCCGAGCGGCTAAGGGAACAGATATCGACACCGGGCTCAGTGAAATGGCAAGCTTAGAGCCACAGCGCTGACTGCAACTCCCGAGATGCTTTGCGAGCGGCCTATGAGCGAGTACCACATGGAGCAGGGGGGGAACGGGGTGGTATCTTCTCCTCCTCCTCTTGCTGCCAGCCTGTGTATTGTGGCAGCTCAGCCCATGTACCCCTCTCCCGGGCCCGCACCGTAGACATGGATGTGTTCGGGGACCTGCGGAGGATGAACAAGAGGCAGGTGGGTGACTGCAAGGGGCCCCTATGGGGGGCCACATTAATAGTCAGTAACTTTTATCCTCCCCTGCAGAGTGCATGGAGCAGCAGACTCACTCCTCCAGTCATCTGCCTTATGCTGTATTATTACCATGTTATTATCTGACTCTTTATTACTGTTATTATTGTAGATGTGGATTCTATTTCAGGGGGACACGCTAGGCGCATAGTGCATGGAGCCCTAAAATCATTCCGCCAGTCATCTGCCTGATGGCTTTATTATTGTTTTATTGATCTGTCACTTATTATTAGTATTATTATTATTATACACCTGTATTCTATTTCAGGGGGGGCACACTAGCAGCATATTGCATGTAGCATCCGAGACGCTGGTCTTGTGATCTGCCATGTGCGGCTACATGATTACCATTTGTATTCACCTTTGTGACTTTCTATCATTGTGATACAAATTCCATTAAAGGAGAAATCACCAACACCTGCTACATACATAGCTGCCAATAATCTGCTCTATGTCCTAAAACATCATTCCATGTATGACGTGTACATGACATGCCGTGTAGCAGAGGACGCAGAACATGTCTCGTTCTGCAGGTTAGATGACTTTTACCAGCTGTCAGCAGCTCTGTGTCATCATTTTATGCTTCTTTTCTTGTCATTTAAATAGTGAATTGTGTGATGTGTCCTTAGTCCTCCCGGGACCACAACCGTCGTACAGTGCTAGACATGGAACGGTCACATGTCATGCAACACGAGGCTGAGCGCCGTCACCCCAACACTGCGCAGGAAGTGGATACAATTGTGTCACCATACTGCCCATTGCTGATAAATAGAATTCACATACATAGACTGCGTGTGTGTGTATATATATATATAGGAGAAACTCGAATAATTAGAATATCGTGCAAAAGTAATTGCAGTAATTGCTGCAAAAGGGGCCCAAACCAAGTACTGAGTACATATGCATGCTTGTACTTTTCAGAGGTCCCATATTGTTCTATGTACAATCCTTGTTTTATTGATTGCATGTAATAATCTACTTTTTTGAGGTTGTGGATTTGGGGTTCTTGGGGTTTTCATGAGCTGTAAGCCATAATCATCACAATTATGACAAATCACGGCTTGAATTATCTTGCTTTGCATGTAATGAGTCTATCTCATATATTAGTTTCACCGCATAAGTTGCATTAGTGAAATAAATGAACTTTGCACGATATTCTAATTATTCGAGTTTCACCTGTATATAGTCTCTCTTCTCACGCTCTCTCTCCTCCTCCTCCCCCTCGCTCTCTCCTCCTCCTCCCCCTCGCTCTCTCCTCCTCCTCCCCCTCGCTCTCTCCTCCTCCTCCCCCTCGCTCTCTCCTCCTCCTCCCCCTCGCTCTCTCCTCCTCCTCCCCCTCGCTCTCTCCTCCTCCTCCCCCTC